ATAAGCATTTAGACACAACTTTAATAAAGCAGACGGTGCCTTGATGTTCAACTTACCAAATAACCTGACAGACACATGGTTTCGGAAGCCAGCCTGCAGTGTCTTCAGAGCCCCGGGATCCGCCCCTTGGTGACTCCGCAGCATCTGCTGCCTTCTTGCAGCAAGTCGAGCTGGTGAGGGAGTGAACTGCTGCCCTGGCTGGGCTCCAGCATGGCTGTGAGGGCGCCAGCCTCAGGCTCTGTCTCTGGCAGGTGGAAATGCTTATCCTCAGTCTTTGAAAACATTATGCCTCCCGTTCCTCTGATTGATTTATTAAACCACAGTAGAGGTCAGCAAAGAAACCCAGGTGCAGCGAAGATAGTTTTGCAGCCGGTTACGACCTAGATTGCAGAAGCAGCATGTATTTCCCTGCAGTCAGGAAAGTGCAACTGAACAAACAAGGTTAGTACTGTCAGGTCTGACCCCACATCTGCGACCTGCCTGAAATGCTGTCCCCAGCAGAGCATCTGATTCTGACTGGTGACTGTGATGGAGGGTGAGGCACTGTGGAGCAGGCCTCTGGGGAGAAAAGACATTACCTTGGCTACTTCCGTGGAACAAGCCTTTAGGGGTCTGGCCCCATCACCATCATTTCTGCTCAGACAGCTCTGAGTCCCTGTCACGTCCAGTGACCGTCGTGCTCTGCATACAAATGAGTTTCTCATCGTTAATGCATTCATGCGACATCCGCCCTTCTGCTGCAACCTAAAAATCTATACAGCTGTGCAGCACACTTTGTGACCATCACTTTCAGAATGTGGGGCTTTAAATTAGATACCCTTTCCATTCAACAGCATGTTTTCTTTTAAGCATTTCCTCAGGTAGAGGGGAGATACAACCACGAGTCTAATGGTGAATATGGTCCCAGTTGTACAAAAAAATTAACTGGCTTCGAGATACAGAGAAGAAAGATACCTGTAGCTTCAACAAAGTGTCCCTTCAAGTTCACTTTAGGCTCCCATTTCTTTTGACAAAGTTAAACAATATATGGCAAACATGATACACTTCAATTGTGGGCTGCTGGGTGCCAGCACGCTTTCTTTTACTTATTGCAGTGATTTCAAAGGTAATCTCCAGGAAACCTGCTTATAAAGGCAGGGAATGAAGATGAGTATAATTTGAGGAATGTGGAAGTCAGGGTGTGGTGACTGCAGATTTAGGGGGGCCGGGCTGCATTTTGGCTTAACAACTTGTGAAAAGGTTATGTTACTAATGGGTGTTGAGGCTCCATCTGAAAAGTTACATCATGAAAAAAGGATAAAGTCGCATTATTAAGTTACTGATTCTGTATTGTCATTTACTAGGAATATCCATTGTATTTTATATTGAGATGTTTAGGGAAACTTGTAGAAATCATACAGTTCATTGCCTCCGCTAGCTGTCCAAAGAGAACATCCTCAGCCTCTGCCTCACAGTATAGGTCAGTTCATGTTGGTGTTACCCAAACAGGAGGGGTTCACTGCATACTTGTTATATTCTGAGGCCTGCAGTACACAATAATCTACTTTCTCAAAGGCCGGGAAGATGAGAACTCGGATAGGGAGGGCAATACTCAATTTGGAGGCAGGCACAGCTTGAGCTTGAGGTAGCTGTGTGACTTCAAATGACTGAATATCTTCGGCTTCAGCTGTTTGCTCTGAATAACCTTCTCACGGAGATTTTGTCCTTATTAAATAATAGATAGCAAGTGCCTGTTACTTGGTGAGTACCCCTTCTGTGTTCATTTCCTTCATCCCTCCTTGGATTGATGCTTGGACTGATGCCAGTGACGGATCTACTTGGTGATGAGGGGGATGGAGACCCACCTGCTATTCTGATGTAGGATTATTTGACTGCATTGCTGCTGGGAGGAGAATTTGGCTCTCAGGACCATGGACAGAAACCGTCCACGCTCTTCAGCCTGTAAGAATTTCAGCCTAATGCTGCGCTTTAAAAAATAAATGCCAATACAGAAAGTTCCTGTGCTAAAGGACTTCAGAATAAGCAACAGAAAAGCTGGAGTCACCAGGTGCCCTTTTGAAGCTTATGGATCCTATTGTCACTGGAAAGAAGTGATATATTTTTTTAGTGGTCCTGAAACAGTTATACGCTAACTGTGTAACAATAACGCAAACATATTTTTGCTTTAGACTAATGGACCTGAAAAAGTTCTCTGAAGGAATATAGAGGTGTTTGGAGATAATTAAAATAGTAAGAATTTTGTTAATGATTTTCACCACCTCATATTTATTTCTATTTTTTGGTTTCATGTATCTACTACATGGGGCCCTGCTGGAAACTCTCAGTCAATTTCATGTTTGTCTTATGCTTATAGGAAAATCAAAAGATAAAGATGATAAGACTCATAAGCCTTATAGAGATAGACAGATATGGAGAGACAGAGAGACAGAGAGGGAAGAGGAGAGCAAACAGCCTACTGCAGAAGTCACCAAGGCAGAAACATTTATGGACAGGGAAAAGGAAAGCCACGCTGTTTCCTTTTAAAGTGTCTTATTCTACATTGGCTCAGACACACCAAGCAAATGCCACTTGGGCTCTTGGAGCAAATGCTGACAAATGGGCAGGAAAGGGAGGATGACTGGGCAGAATATCTAAAAAGAGGCCGGCATCTAGCAGAGGAGAGGGCAATGAAGGGTGGGGAGACCCAACGTGTACTGAGGACCCCTCCCTCTGTGCCAAAGCAAGGCTGAAGTGAAGCAGCTTTGACCAGTGGCTATTGCCAGATGCTGCGAAGAAAGAGTGGAGACCCCCATTCATGAAAGCTAGCGCTGTCCCTCTCCTCCGACTGTTCTTGGTCTGGATCCACAAGGGAACGGGTCCTGGATGCTCCATCTGACTTGCAGAGGCCAGCCTTGCCACCAAACCCGAGTACCTGCCTCCTCTCTCCACTGCCCACTGAACCACAGAAGGTGCCCCATAGTTTATTTTGTCTGCAGCATCTCAGGGCCTCTGCAGCACCAGCCACATTGTTCCCTTCAGGGCACTCTGCTCTGCAGTCAAAGGTGTTAGCAAGGAGCCCTGCCTCCCCGCTCCAAAGAAATCACACACACACACACACACACACACACACACACACACACACACACACGGGCTTAAGATCTCTGAGAATGACCTGTAACTCCTGAGGAAAGGCGCTGGAAGAATGCAAGTGAACAATGTCCAACTGTGGTGTGTACAGACCCTCAACAAAAGATTGTGAAATAATACAAGTTTTATGGAGCTAGCTTGGGGGAAAATCTGCAACTCTTCATCTATATGCGAGTCATAGGGAGCAAGAAAAGCTACGACTTATCTAAAATCTCTCTCTCTCTCTCTCTCTCTCTCTCTCTCTCTCTCTCTCTCTCTCTCTTTTCCTTCCCCCTAAGTCCTCTTGATCACCGATGAATTCGAAAAAGGATATATGCAGGCTACAGAGAACCATGTATATAGTACTTGATCCTATCCTATATGCTGGCCACACAAGTCTCAGGCAGCCTGGCGACTTAAGGTTTCAAAGCTTAGAATGTGTAAGCATGGGTGGGCGTCTAACATAGCTTAGACTTCATGGATTTAAACCATCGGCAACCCCACGCAAGGCCTCTGCTTCAGTTCATTCCTCTTCCATGAAGAGGACGCGTTAATTGAGTCACAGTAAGTGTAAGATGAGAAAGGAATACACAGAATAAACCTCACCTCACTCTCTTTTCGGTCTCCAGAAGCGACCGGGCACAGCTCCAAAAAGTTCACTTCTCTATTTGGAAACCGTTAGTTAGCCATACCCCCTTACTGGACCATTTAAAGGAACCGGTAAGCCAGTGGTATGTTGAACACATTAAACAAAAAGCCAAATGCTTCCTTAAAACCGGTTTCAGTTACTTCCTACAAATCTCTGCAGTATCTTTTCAAAACTGCAGGAGCTCACAACGCGAGTATGAAAATGCTGCACCCACGTGCGTTTGGCGTACCCACTCTGGTATCTGGGTGCTTTCTGAAAGAAGTCCATAGATTCCCGAGTTCATCCGTTGCCTATGAATTTCAGCCGGCTATTTTTTTTTCTTTCTTTTCATTCCGTCTCTATGCTGACTTCTTTTCGAGGGAGACCACACCCAGAGCTGGCGGCTGTTCGCAGCAGCAGCTTCTCCACCCGCCTTCCCCCTTTAAAAAAAAAAAAAATCAGCCACCTGCATGGCTTGGCGAAACCGTCAGGTTGGGGTACCACACAGGTGTAAAAGAGGGGAAGAGGCTTTTGACGGGATGGAATCGGTAATAGATCAGGGAGCACAGAAGCACCCTGAGGTTCTGGCGCTGCAGAGCGCGTCTTTGCCTTGCAAGTCTTTCTTTGCCTGGCTACTTTCAAACCTCTCCTAAGCACTCCAGACTCCATTCCCCACAAAGAAAGGAGAAATTCTCTGAAAGGTATCAGGCAAATTAACTGCTTCCTGTAAAGGTCTTAAAATGTTAAAATGATCACTGTCCTGAGGTTTCAAGGGTGTGTGGTCGGGCATGTCCCCTATGTGTTGAGAAGTAGAGTGATAAGGAAAAATAAATAAATAAAAGGAGGCAGGAGAAAGGGAGGGGGGCTTAAGAAAAGGTCAGAAAATAACTACAAAGACATGTAAAACTTTCCTGCAGGAATGTCGCATGGACGCTGCCTTAAGCTATTGTCAGTCTAACCGCGGGGACTCACAACCCGGCTCTGTCAACCCGAAGCAGGATGCTAAGAGGGTCCTTGATGGAGAAAGGGCGAGCTGGGGGTGGGGTCAAGGTGTCTTTGAGACATTGGATATTAAAAATTGATGTGTCAGTAGAGAGCAAGAACCTTTTATTAGGAACATTTAAGGATCCGAGTCATGGGGACTTTAGGTATTAACAGGCAAAGTGGGCTAGGGGAGTGGGAAAGGAAAAGGAATGAGTCGGGAGGTTATGGGGGTCTCAGAGAAAGTAGAGGGCCTCGGAGCAAAGCTGCCTCGCCAGCCGCCTGTCGCTCGCCCCCGCCTTTGCTTTTGCGCAGAATCCTCCCCTTGGCTGCAGCAGCGCGCTGCCCCCACTGGCCTGCGCACCGCGATCAATCGCAGTCTGCGTCAGAGTCCTGGAGTATAAATAGAGGTGGCAGGACCGCGCCGAGCCGCACACAGCCATCCATCCTCCCCTTTCCCTCTTCTTCCCCGTTTTTCTCTCTAGGTCCCCCACCTCCGCCCCGGGCCGGAGAGGCCCACCGGCCGCCACCATGAGTTCGTTCGGCTACGACCCGTACTTTTCGACCTCCTACAAGCGGCGCTACGTGGAGACGCCCCGGGTGCACATCTCCAGCGTGCGCAGCGGCTACAGCACGGCGCGCTCCGCGTACTCTAGCTACTCCGCGCCGGTCTCCTCCTCGCTGTCCGTGCGCCGCAGCTACTCGTCCAGCTCCGGCTCTTTGATGCCCAGCTTGGAGAACCTCGACCTGAGCCAGGTAGCCGCCATCAGCAACGACCTCAAGTCAATCCGCACGCAGGAGAAGGCACAGCTCCAGGACCTCAACGATCGCTTCGCTAGCTTCATCGAGCGCGTGCACGAGCTGGAGCAGCAGAACAAGGTCCTGGAAGCCGAGCTGTTGGTGCTGCGCCAGAAACACTCCGAACCGTCCCGCTTCCGCGCCCTGTACGAGCAGGAGATCCGCGATCTGCGGCTGGCGGCGGAAGACGCCACCAACGAGAAGCAGGCACTGCAGGGCGAGCGCGAGGGGCTGGAGGAGACTCTGCGCAACCTGCAGGCGCGCTACGAGGAGGAGGTGCTGAGCCGCGAGGACGCCGAGGGCCGGCTGATGGAAGCGCGCAAAGGCGCCGATGAGGCCGCGCTCGCCCGCGCCGAGCTGGAGAAGCGCATCGACAGCCTGATGGACGAGATCGCCTTCCTGAAGAAGGTGCACGAAGAGGAGATCGCCGAGCTGCAGGCTCAGATCCAGTATGCGCAGATCTCCGTGGAGATGGACGTGTCCTCCAAGCCCGACCTCTCCGCCGCCCTCAAGGACATCCGCGCTCAGTATGAGAAGCTGGCCGCCAAGAACATGCAGAACGCCGAAGAGTGGTTCAAGAGCCGCTTCACCGTGCTGACCGAGAGCGCCGCCAAGAACACCGATGCTGTGCGCGCTGCCAAGGACGAGGTGTCCGAAAGCCGCCGCCTGCTCAAGGCTAAGACCCTGGAGATCGAAGCATGCCGGGGTATGAACGAAGCTCTGGAGAAGCAGCTGCAGGAGTTGGAGGACAAGCAGAACGCGGACATCAGCGCCATGCAGGTATGGCACGGTCCAAGCCCAGTGGGGGCGGGGAGGCTGCAAAGTCGGGGTGGAGGGTGCACCCAGAGAGTGAACGCTAGGGGGTCCTAGAGCACCGAGCTGCTATCAGAGGGCTTGGCTTCCGGGAGGATGTGGAAAGGATGGGGCACTTGGAAGGGGCGGGGCGCCACTGCTGCCTGTTGTGTTGAATCGCTGTTGGGCTAGGGGGGAGGGTTGGGAGGAAGCGGAGGAGGGAGTCGGAGTTGGGCGTGGCCACTAGTCTGAGGCTTTCTCTGTACTGACCTCTCTTAACTCCAAGTTACCTCTGACTTTCTGGATCTCCTGGTTAATAAATACTGCTGCTAGCTCTCTCACTAGTTCTGGACCACCAAGCCTTGGAATAGTTTTATTTTTAACAGGGACACACGAATACAGTCAGAATATTTTAGGCCAATTAATTACTGCAACTTATTTATTTATTTATTTATTATTTTTAAGTTCTCATCTTTGGGGGAGTAGAAGTAGAGTTGTGGAAAGCATTTTAGCAAATTACTATATATTCCCTTCCCCAAGTGTGACCTTGCTAAAAGAAGTGTGGCAAAGGTTTTCTTTTCTCTCTTCTTTTTATCAATTTTGTATTTTTTTTAGACATTTTACCATAGTCAATAGACTAAAGAAAATTTAAAAAGTTGCTTACATCAGTCTGCCCCCTTCCTCCCCTTCTCATGCATTACTAGACTGGACATTTTAGGCCAAAAAAAAAAAAAAAACCATGCAGTAATTTTAAGGGCGATTTTATTGGAGGTGCACACTTCGGAGTTAACTGAAACTAGTCTCTAGCACCACTATTACAGTAATACAAAAGCAGTAGAGGTTTATGCTTTGAAATCTTAAAACCGTCTTCCAACAGGACACAATCAACAAATTGGAGAATGAATTGAGAAGCACGAAGAGCGAGATGGCGAGGTACCTGAAGGAGTACCAGGACCTCCTCAATGTGAAGATGGCCTTGGACATTGAGATTGCAGCTTACAGGTAAAATCGGAATGGTGCAGGCAGTGGGCGTGGCACCTTGGGAGAGATCAATCACATAACCACAGTCCACACAGAGTTACGGTGACTCACAAGTGTTCTAGAATAGTCCTAGTTTGGGCTTCCTCCAAGAAGGTGCAAATGTGTAAGGAATTAACCCCAAAGTAATGTAAGCCCTGTTCTTAGCATTTACATTTTAAATCTAATAGGGGTACATAGAAGGTTTTTTTTGGGGTAGAGTCTCTCATGAAATCCCTATTAAATCTTAATTATGCCTAACCCTGTTTATCATTGTGTTTGCTTTTGAGGTTGGCAGTTGGGGAAAGTGATGAATGGTGGACTTAGATCAGGTCGTGAACACATGTCCAGTGGTGGTTGGTCTAACTGTACCCTCTCCCGCTCCCCCGCCCCGCCCCCGCCCCACCCCCATCCCCTAGGAAACTCTTGGAAGGCGAAGAGACCAGGCTCAGTTTCACCAGCGTGGGCAGCATAACCAGCGGCTACTCCCAGAGCTCGCAGATCTTTGGCCGCTCTGCCTACAGTGGCTTGCAGAGCAGCTCCTACTTGATGTCCGCTCGCTCGTTCCCAGCCTACTACACCAGCCACGTTCAGGAAGAGCAGACGGAGGTGGAGGAGACCATTGAGGCCGTCAAAGCTGAGGAGGCCAAGGATGAACCCCCTTCTGAGGGAGAAGCAGAAGAGGAGGAGAAGGAGAAGGAGGAGGGAGAGGAAGAGGAAGGCGCTGAGGAGGAAGAAGGTATGCAAAGACAAAAACCTTCAGAATCCCTAGTGCAAACTGGCTGTGGGTATTCACTGGGAGATGGATGAGGTATGGGGCCTTGCTTACTACCTAGGGAAATCGATGGGGGTTTTGCAACCATAAGCAATACACATGTAATGAGGACACACAGGTTTAAATAAGCATCTATTATAAATTGTAGAAGGTTCATATTTTAAAACATTCAATTAACACAGTGTGGTACCCAAAAGAACACTTGATGTTGGCCAGAACTGATTGTCCCCTAAAGAACATGAGTGCCAGACACATAAGAATATTTTGAGGCAAGGTACTAGAGAGGAGAAAATCTCCAGCACCTGGAAGTAATCTCCATTTATTTAAGTACGTGGTTCCTGGAAAATTGTTCATGTCAAGCACTGTTTGTAATGTGTCCTTTGGGAGAGTGGGGCCTCACTCTGACCATAGTGTTTGGTAACTCACAGAGTCTCTGCAGAAATGTTCTGCCTGGACCTAACCTGGATTTGGATTTTGTGTTTTTTTCTTATCTTCAAGCTGCCAAGGATGAGTCTGAAGACACAAAAGAAGAAGAAGGTGGCGAGGGTGAAGAGGAAGACACCAAAGAATCTGAAGAGGAGGAGAAGAAAGAAGAAAGTGCTGGGGAGGAGCAAGCAGCCAAGAAGAAAGATTGAGCCCTGTTCCCAACTACTCCAGGCAAAAAAAAAATCTCCCCAAATCAGGTCAACCTCATCACCAACCAACCAGTTGAGTTCCAGATCCTCTACAAATTAAGAAGTCCATATACGTTTAATTCTGAGATGACTTAGGTTTGACACTCAATGTTGTGCTATGAATTTTCCCCGTATGCAGAGTATCTGTTTGCTTGCAGAGTGGCTTTCTGGCTTGCTGCCAGCCTGTGCATGGTCCACGCTTACGAGTTCAGGATCTATGGCAATGTGAATCACACAGATGTTTACAATAATAAAAAAAAACCACAGACACACACACAACACAAATAAATGAATTCACTAACGTTCATGTGCAACTTCATGGAAAAAATAGTCATTTGAAACTTCGGTGGTTAGAAATTAAAGACCTCGAGTTATGTGCAATAAATAGTAAATAAAGTTACACTGAATGATATATATTTTGCTGTGGTTTTTTTTTTTTACTTAATTAAAATACCTTAAAGAAGGCACCAATACAAACCATAAACACGGAGACTACTGACCTCCATTTTTTAATAAAATAAAAATTTTAACAAGTGCAGTACATCATTGGACATTCTGAGGGATAGAGAAATAGGTTAAGACTAGAAAATATTTCCCCCTAAACCTTCCTGATAATAAATATGAATGAGAGCATTCATAAATAACAGTGTAACTCACCCTGTAAAATATACAATGTTGGCTGGAGGGATGGCTTTCTAGAAGGCAATTTTGAAATTATAGTGGACAAGTATACAGTAGTACAATCTGGGTAGACTATGAGTCCCACACAGTTGTCACAATGGTTACATTTTCAATATATTCTTGAATATCATGGCATAAATGGAAATCTAAGCCCATGATATAATTAAAAGGAATGACTTAAAAACCCCATATTTCATTTTGAGTGGGGAAAGAAACCTTGTCGGAGGCTACCTGCCACTGCAAACACGTTGCCTGGAATCCTGAGCTCATGAAAGGTGTGTTGTTTGCTTTGTTCTACTGCCTCACATAAATTGCCTTTAAAGCTATACATGTCAAAACCCTTTAAAAACCACGCAAGCAGGTAATGGCATTAATGTTACTTCTTGGGGGAGATAATACATTTGTATGTTGCATTGGCATTGCTCTGCATGTCTTAATTGGTAAATATTTGGATTTCAATGCCTGGTTGGACACTGTGTCATATCTATACCCCATCTGCCCCGTCCATGGTAAGGCTATGATAACTCTTCACTTGTGTTTGGTGTGGACTATAGATGAAGTCTTTGCCTACCTACTGCTCTGGTGTTCTTAGCTGTTTGGTCTGCTGGTTTCTTCACTATCTGTGTTTTAGATGACCCGTGAGACTTAGGAATTTTATCTGAAACCAAAGCAGTCCTCATTTAAAGTTACATGATCTCTTTGCATTACTTACTTCTAGTTGAATATGTATTACTACACAACTAGGCAGAACATTTCTTTATCTACCATGATGTGAATTTGAACTGTGAAGGCTCTTGGCATTCCTTCATAGGTAGGAAACCTTGACAGCAAGCTTTTCATACTTGTGCTCGTTAGTTATGAGTTGATGCAAACAGCTGGTGGGTTTAAGAAATACTTGATTGAAGAACACAGTTCCATACTCAACCCTGTGTGCCATAATAAAATATTGAAAAAAATCTAAATTCAGTGAGTTTGAAGTCTTTTTTAAAACTTCTTTCAATTGAGTCACTGGCCAGTCTTTCTGTTTCCTTGGCACCACTCAAGCAGACTCTGACTCTCACTCCTCAATTCCCTTTACAGTGGCCCTACTGCCCAGTCATCCAGCCCCAAATGTAATTAAGACTAATAGCTTTAAATTCATATTTGATTTTGAATGGGGAAAGTAAGACCATTTGAGGTTATCTTGAAGAAGTACACACCAGATACCTTTTCATGACATTTTGCCCTTGTTTTTTTTCTCCTTCACCCACCTAATCTAATCTTTTCCCATCCCACTGATTTTACTGTTAACCTTTATGAATCCATGTAGATCACCCCATGCACTCTGCTGTAGTCCTAAAGGCTTCCTTAGTGTATATGAGCTCCACTGCAATTAGCATCCTGTGGTAGTGCCCAGCCTCCTTGGCTGGGATCTTGAACTCTGACTGGGGCAGTGACATCAAAGACATGACAGACACTTGGATACGGGAAAGCTGGGGTCAGGAAAGCTGTGTGCTCTGACGGAGCCACACCTACTACTTACACCAACCAGAACCTCAGTGAGTTGATTGGGTGCAGCACAGGGAAGCAGTTAAGTAGTCTGGATAGGAGGTCTCTGTAGGTGAGTAGTCCCAAGCAATAGGCTTCTGGGGTGGGGGAGGAAGCGGCAACTGCTAGATTCTGTACATATTGATCAATCATCTGTGAACACTTGAATTTGGGCCAGAGGAGGAAGGTTTTGCTAATTCTGAGCCTGACTCATAGGGAAGGCCTCACCAATTTCTCATGGCTTTGGTCCTTGTCAACAATACACATTCACATGGGGCTGCCTGTGTTTCCTACATAGTAGGCTAATAGTCGGGAAAGCCAAGTTAAAACAGGGCACATCCCCTGACTAAACGTCCCTGTAGCTTTCTATTTATCTGCATATGAAACTTAGGATCTCTAGCGCCATCTACACAGCCTGGTGCTATGTATCAGTTTCCTCTGAGACAGAAACATTCTATCCTCCAGGGTAGCTCTTTAAGCAGGAAGATAACTCAAAATAGCTTCAGGAAGTCCCTGAAACTGACCAGATTCACTGGGCCCCTTCCTGCCAGAGTGAGTAGTAAAAGCTGAGATGAAAGTGAACTTACCTGCAAAGAAGACTCACATCACACCAGCTTCCTGGAAGAAGTAGAAACTAGCTGAGCTGCCTGGAAGAGGTTTAGACCAACTGAAGCACCTGGAAAGGACATCCTTCAACCTGTTGAGCTGCCCGCAAACTGGTCAGTGTGCTCCAGGTTCCCAACTTTGTGAGCTGTCACCCATGCTGCAGTGGCTTTGGTGCTGCAGCTGTCTTTGAGTCCTTTCTGCTCCTGTAAGTGACCCTTCACCCTTATTTATTCACCAAGCTGGACTTTGGTAGTATCCGTACTTTGGTCTGTGGTGGGATCCCTGTCTGGGGTGAGTAGACATGTGTGTTGTGTCTCCCCAGGAAATATATTGTCACACAACACCTACAGAGATCTCATCCCTACCTATTTCTCTGTCCTCATCCTGTATGTATTTCTCTGCCTCTCACTTTGGGTGCTCCAGTCACCTCGATCTTTTGATTGCACCCTCAGGACTGCCTGGCCAGCTCATGCTCACAGTTCCGTTATAGGTGTAAGTGTCATTCTCTGTAGAAAGCCTTCCTGACCTTGTCAGTGGGTCAAATGCCTCTATTAAATAAGCTGGTAAAACCGTGTAGACATCTCCCACTTGACTTTGTTGTCTGTTTTGTGACCACTGGATAATTTTCTGCACCTCCCCAATCATCAGGCAGATGAGAATCTGATTTTGAGGCTATATGTTTTTAAAGATTCATTTATTTTATTTTGTAAATATCAGCGTTCTGCCTGCTTGTATGTACATGCCCCCTGCATAGTTGGTCCTCACAGAGGCCAGAAGAGGGCATCAGATCCCCTAGAACTGGAGTTAGAGATGATTGTAAACATCCGTGTGGGTGCTGGGAATTGAACCCAGGTCCTCTACAAGAACAGCAAGTACTCTTAATGTCTAGGTCATCTCTCTAACCCTGCTCACTAGTTTTTGAATCTTTAAGTAGTATACATTCATCACATAACGTTTCATGAAGATATTTCTATACATGTTTATCATTTACTTTGCCCATACCCTTTATTACCCTCTCTTCTCCTGCCTCCCCACTACTCTCTAGTCTGCTTCTTCTCCACCAACAGTTCTACTGCATGTGTACATATATGTGCATATTTATATTCCACACATAAGAGAAAGATGTGTTATGTTTTTCTGAGTTTGGCTCATTTTTGCTTAACATGATTGTATTAGTCAGAGTTCTTTAGAGTAACAGAACTGAAAGAATAAGTCTCTATATAGAAAGGGCATTTTTTAGAATGACTTTCAGGCTGTGGTCCAACTAATCCAACAATGGTTGTCTATGAACTGGAGATCCAAAAATCCAGTAGCTGTTGAGTCCACAAGGGTGGGTGTCTCAGCTGGTCTTCAGTCTATGCTGGAATTCCAAAAAAGTAGGCACTAACTTACTAGCAGAGGAATGGACTTTCTAGTGAGGGTGAGAGTAAGCAGGTAATGAGAGAAGCTCCCTTCTTCCATATCCTTTATAAAGACTGCCAGCAGAAAGTGTGACCCAGATTAGAGGTGGATCTTCCCACCTCAAAAGATCTGGATTAGAAGTGGGTCTTCTCTAGTTTTGTTTTCTTGAAAATAATTTACTTTTTTCATGGCTGCAGGAAACTACATTGTGTCTATACCACCTCTTCTTTATCCATCTGTCTGTTGATGGACATCTAGGCTGATTGTGAACAGTACTCTTGGTTCTTGTGAACTTTACTATAATAAAAACAATGCAGGTGGTATGTTAATATGGATTATGTTGGGCATATCCCCAAGAGTGGTATAAGTGGATCGTATGATATTTCTAATTGTGTTTTGTTGAGGAACCTTCATTTATATTTCTACAGTGAATGTTTCTACATCTGCATCAGGCATTCCCCAACCTACTAGCATTTGTTATCATTTGCTTTCATGATGACACTCAGTCTGTTGGTGTGAGATGGGATGTCAATGCAGTTTTGCTTTGCTTTTTCTCTGATGGATAAGGATGTTAAATACTTTTTATATATTTATTGTCCATTTGTTCTTCTTTTGATAATTGTGTGTTCATTTGGCAATTAACTGATCATATGATTTGTTTTCTTGGTGTTTAATTTTTTTGTTTCTTTATATATTCTGGTATTAATTGTACTGGCTCATTTTGTGTGCCAACTTGACACAAGCTAGAGTCATCAAAAAGAAGGAGCCTCAGCTGAGGAATTGCTTCCGTGAGATCCAGCTGTAAGGCATTTTCTCAATGAGTGATCAGTGGGGGAGGGCCCAGCCCATGTTGGGTGGTGCCATCCTTGGGCTACTGGTCCTGAGTTCTAAAACAGAGGTGAGATTAAAATTCATCTTCAAGGATCTCAGCTTCCCAGGTGCTGTTCTCAGCCCACTGTTCTCCTGCCTGATGCTTTCCTTGTCCTTATGTCTCATCAGTCAACTGTTGTTGTTTTTTGTCTCTTCCTCCATATCCCCCTTTGTCTTTCCTTCCTCTTCCTAGTCTTTGTTTTTGCATGTCCTGATGCAAACTATTTCGAATCTTTTTTTCTTAGTGAACTCTGGCTGGATATGTAAGTGCTTTTCTTTCAGTCCATATCTCCCTTGGGTTAAGTGGATTTTGCAAGGAATGTTTTT